TTTTGCGTGAAATACCGGCGAGAAAGTACGTGTGCGTATACCCAGTTCGAGAACCACTCGTTTTATCAGGGTGTGTGAATTTTATTTTGCGGTGTGAGCCATAGTTTGGGGGGTTATTGATAGAATTATTGTGTCATGGTCCGGATGTAGTTTTATTGGGTTGAGGGTGAAAGTCTATGAAAAGTAATTAGCTCTTTCCTCTGCCTTAGCAGATGGAGAAAATAATTTACCTTTAGGTGAGTTGATAGATGAAATTATTTTCTTTTTTACATTTGTTTTGCGTAGTTTCATATAGAGTTAATTCATGTTGTTAAGGATTGACTCTTATTTTGGATTTTGAGATTTATATATTTTTTTGTTTTTTAACTATATTATTATACTATATAACTTGATTTGTAAATTTTTGGTTAGGTTCCAGAGCCTGCTGGTTACGTTTTTCATGGTTATTATGTTTCTGATTTCTTTAAGTAGTTACGAGTGTCTGATATTGTTGCGATTTTGTGTGTTTATATGTTGTGCTTCAGTTGTTTCTGTATGTATTATGGTTTTTAATAATTCTAATTCTTCTCACTTTTCTTAGGATTTTTATTTTTGGTATTAAATCGTTATTATGTTTTGGAATGAAATCCAATTTAATTTAAATTGTTTATTTGGGTATTGGGGAATGGGATTTATTGGGAATGGGATCGGGGATGGGATTTGCTGTGCAAGTACCGGATTGTGACCAGAGTCGAGTTCATGACTTGGAGTTGAGTAAAAATGGATATTTGCGTCTGTCAGATCGATATCTAGGATGTATGTTTTTCAGTTACGTCGCTAGGGTAGTAAGTTCGTTATGGAGGGGTTAGTATATTGATAGCGGTATTTTTTTATTTTTTTGATAGAATTTGGTTGCTTGTGCGACATATCCAGTTAGTGTGCTTGGTGTTTAGATCTCCTAGTATTGATATGTTTTTATTTTGGGTGAATGTTTTGGGGTTGTATTTTTACTGTGGGAGATTTATGTGCAGCTTTTATATTCCGTGCTTGATTGTTCCATGTTAGTCGTATTGCTACTTTTTATACTCCTGTAGTGTTTGGTATACCTTTTTCGTATTTTTTTTATTTTGTTCCTGACTACTATTAGCACCCCGCCTCCTTTATTTTAGGTCCTATCGTTTCTATACATTTTGTAGTCTGGTTTGAAAAACTTGTTTCCATTGTTTAGGCGATTCTCTGATATCTGAATATCTATGTTGTATGTATGTAAGTATTGAGTCAGCTCCATTTTTTTGGATATGATCCCGTTTGTATTCTAATTAGTGAATGATATATTTTTAAAGGCTTGTATTGATATTATTATCATTAAAATATGCTGTTCCTGTATTTTGAATTGTATTGATTATTGATGGAATGATGGAGTTAATTAAGTTAATTATGCAGGATATTGTAGAATTAATTATTTAATTTAAAAGTGCATAGGTATTATTTTATTGGTATTGTTGGTATTGTTGGTATTTATTGGTATTGTTGTGTGCTGTTGCTTTGTGATCTGCTATTGTTAACATGTCTTGATTGAATTTCAGAGTTGCGTTATTGATTGTTCCAAGAGTTGGGTTGAGGGTAGTGATGGAAATTGTTCTTGGTGTTGGTAGCTAAGGTCTGGGAATGGTGTTCTTTGGGAGGGATTTCTTGTGCTATGCGGTGGGGTGATTTTCTTTTCAATGATTTCCTTAAAGTATAAACAGTTCTGATTTCTTACATTTGCGCTGTGATTGCCTTTGCAATTAATGCAGGTGGAAGTTGCTTTACTTTTATAACAAGTTACCGTATAGTGATCACCAGAACATATTGCCAAGTGTGACATCATGGATACTCACAGCGAACACAGACACAGAGCATACGTACAAAAAATATTTATTTACAAAGAAAATACAACAAATATACAATGAATTTACACTTTACACCCTAGCTCTGATAGACCTGCTATCCCCTGATCGCGGGAGCGATCCCAACCCGATTGATGATCGGTTTCAATTGTGGCAAGCGCACACAAAGCCAAGCTTCCGTGACCGGATGTCACACTGGGACACAAAGTCCGTACCGGCGTACCAACTGATGGTTTGCCTCGATCGCAGGAGCGATCTTTCACGAATGAGAAACGGCCGCGAGTAGTGGCACTCAACCACTCCTCACCTCGGAGCACACACAGCATCGCTCCCACGTGACCGCAGTCACCCAAGGACACAAAGTGCTCCACAGACGCATCAGCATGTGACTTACCTCGCGAGCCCAGCTCGCCGCTGCACCGTCGTGGCGCAAAATTTGTGCATTCGCACGAGGTTCTCCCACTGTCTCCAGAATCCACCAACTGGCTTTGTGCACTCCCTTATATTCTCGAGGCTCACGTAACCTACTAAGTCACGCCGCCCACGCTGGGCTCTATTGCTAGTCATCAGGGTTGGGTCTCCGTTCCTTAAGACCGGAGGACCTCGAAGCCTCGTGCCTCTCTTTTCCGCGTTCTTGCTTTAATGAAAAACCCTTCTCTCCCTCCTGTGGCGAGGCGTTTTCCTGTTACTAATCCCTTACCACGCGTCCTCCAATAGATGCCATGAGGCACGCTGGCTAATACGTTACACAAGTTAATTTTATGGTTTCAATTATTTCTGGAGAGTCGAGAGTCCAAATATCTATAACACTGTATTGGGCCTTTTGGTCTTTTTCTTTGTTGATTGATTGTGAAGATTGATCGGAATTTAGATAGCTGAAGCTGTTATCTAGAAGAAGGCTAATTCTGAGAATCGTATATGCGTACTGGGACATTGTGAGAGGATTGCATTACAGAGGCCTCTTTTTCATGAGCTACAGGGCCTATGTGAGCTTCGGGGCTGCGTCTGGTACAATGACTAACACTGGTGGGTAACTTTTGATATTATCACTGTCACTGGCACTTGCACTGTGTTATTGTCATCGCTGGTGATAGCGTCCTAGCCTACTGACCATTTCGTTGCATTTATTTAGGTTGACCCATTATGCTGGCCACCTAAGGTTAAAAAGATAACATGATATTTCTATTATAGAATGCCATTCCATGGCTGTATTCTCAAAATTTATTACTTTCACTGTGTGTGGTAGGTAAATTGAAAAAAGTGTTGTGCGTAATACTGCTGGTGTAGTGTTGCGCTGACATTCCTGACGTGGCCTGTTAATGGATTCACATCGAACGCCATTGGTGAAAGTTATTAGACGCACTGAATTAATACTGAATATATCTCATAATTAATGTACATGATACTTAGAAGCATTTCAAATATAAACTGGTTGGTCGGTATCGGGTAGGCCCGTACCGACCCTAGGAGTCAGACATTAACGTTCGCTCTGTATTGAGAACGGTTCGGTGGTTGAAACTGGAATGAAGGCATTTATTTCTGCCACGAGAACACAGAGAAGAATAACTATATTCTCCACAAAACTCTATAAAATGTGCACAGATAGTACAGATACATTTATGTTCAAAACCAAAACAAGAGGAAATCTGAACATTCGCTCAAAGGATCAGGGAAACTGGACGAATAATCCGATCGAGGTGGGTTTCATTGTCCCAGGAGCTGAGGTAAAATATAATTCTCACAGATATATTTAGCGTTTTAGAATTATACAGTCTAAATGTTTACGTATTAAATAACATTAGTAAAGTCAATTTACTACAATATACATTACTATAATTCTGTCCCTGCCAAAAAAATCAAAATTGGCCTCTCTATGTACGATGCTAGATTCCGTTGACGAGTGTGTTGATATTGCTTGTTAAACATGCATTTTGTGTTTTTTACTAATATCAAATTCGATGTCAAGATTTAGCAATTGTTTTCGGCAATCGTGCGTTCTCTAATCCGATCTTGTGAACCATTACCGATTGCTGCCCATCTGAGCCTCCGAGTGTAATGAGCCTGGAATCCCATTTTCCGGACGAAATTCTCGCCACTACTCATATAATCGTTTCCATGTAAGAATTCCTGTCTAAATTGGTGCTCGAGGATGGCACCCCATGTAGGCACACCATGTGAACAAGATCTTAACACACCTCGCGAAACCTTGCAGGAGATTATTCTTGTGCCTGTGATATCGACCACTATTGACAACTATGGAAGCCCACTATAAAATATTGATCACTATTCTAGCTGTTAATGATGTAAACAAAATTTACTTATCGGGTCAAACTTACTTCCGCTTGACGTTTGAGTCTCACGTGATGAGGTTGACTGAAAAATATCAAAAGTATGGGACTGGAAGCTGACATTCAACTTGGATTTGCTTCGAAAGCTCATGCAACCCGCACATGGCATGGCCAGTAAAGCGGGGAAAAGCTGCCTCTGCCGAGGCCCAACCGTCAAATACAAAGAACTTTCGAACAACTGAAAAATGTTAAATAATCTTTTTAAATGAGTCCATTGAGGTCCCTCGCAACTGTTAAATCTTGAACAGGAATTAGCTTCAAATGGACGATGTGTATGTTATAACATTACAATTGAATAAATTATGTTCCAACTGTTCAAAGAATTGACTGCCCCGGTCAATAGTCGAACATTAGTAAAATCAACCCAAATCTCCCCGGGAATGCAGAGTTGCTCTACCATTTGAACTACCAAGGCAGTCAACTTTTTGATCAGCATTTCGGTGCACGCTCGTGTTATGTCTAACATGTTCCCCTTGACGCCGAGGCTAGCTTGAACAATTATGAGCGGAACATGTTCCTAGCATCGCAATTGTCAGCTTAGTATACCGACCTCGTAGCTACAGGTAAATAAATAATTAAATTATGCTTAAGCTGTTCAAATGATTGTTATTGAATTGCATGCTTTCTATCTGCATGCTTTTAGCTTGGGCTAAAACGACGCAAAATAAAGGGTATATTTTTTGGTTTAATAACCATACGCAAGTCGTTATTATAGGTAAATTGAAAAATTAATTACATTTATTTCACTGACATGTATTTTAACTACTATTTTCAATTTTTACAGGTTGTAGACATGTACTGGAAAGAAGTGAATGTGCGCTTCTACATGTTAATGATACTGGTGCCTCTCATCTTATTGAACTATGTTCGTAACCTGAAGTTGCTGGCTCCTTTCTCTACTTTGGCGAATATAATTACTTTTGTCGGCCTTGGCATTACTCTGTATTATCTATTTAACAACATACCCAATCCAGCTGATCGGGATATGGTCGGAAGTATTAGAACCTTCCCTCTCTTCATTGGCACTACATTATTTGCATTGGAAGCCGTCGGTGTGGTAAGTTTCGATACATTTATTTGGTTTTTATACATAGTATGACTCAGACAAATGAGATGGAAAACTTGTGGTTCTTATGTACATGTAAAATCACTGAGGTTTCATAATTTACAGAAGATTATAAACATTCTTGATCATTTATGGTATGAAGGATTTTGTTATTTCAGTTTCTCTAAAGTAGTATAGTTCATCACGTGTTCTACTGTAGTATTGATTGTTTTTCATTAATTAGATTAATTATAAATTATAGATCTATATTTTTGTTAAACAATCACCTTTTAACAAATCTAAATTAACATATTACATTGATAAATTAAAACAGTATGATGAAAGATATAACACATTGTTTTATTTTATTTACACTTTCACTGGTCGTGACTTTTCGGAGGTATCATTTTCTCCATCGTCAGACTCAATAAAAACTTCTATAAACATATACACATTTTTATAATAATTTACATAATATCTCAATTTTGCACAATCACATAAACTTGTACTATAATTATCTCCAGGTCTCGTTAAATCACATAACCTTGTATAAATTATACATCTTTTCAACTTAATATTCAATATTAATAATATTTAAAATTTTGCACCTACCAATAAAAACAAAGAATGGATAACTGATTTGAATTTATTGTCAACTTTACCATATTTATATTTCTTACACAAAGGTTGCGGGGGATACACAATATCCGGCGAAGTGATTAATACGCGGAGGTTTTGTTTATGCACGAGCCCCCTAGTCATTGCCCAGCGCTAAATAGCACGGTCCGTTGAGAAACGTGCCTCATTCAGAATGGCACGTATCAATTACACAGACACACACACAAACACAAAAAATGTTGTCAGACATATGTTTCTCCATGTATGTCGACGCGCTGAATCCGAATCTGAAGCCAGAATTGCGCCACCACCTTCTAGTTTTTTTAATCGCGCAAAAAATCCTAAAATTTACAATTTTCAATTTTCATGAAGTTTTTTCGCGATATAAAAACAACAGGTGGGAATCGAACCTGGATCTCTTTGGTGAAAGGCAAGCGACTTCGTTTTGAGCCAACGAGCCATCTCAGGTTTCGATTCTAGTGACTGATATTCCGAAGACTCCGATGGTAACAAACTTTCGTATCGTGAACTTGTTGGATGATTTCTGTATTAATCAACGGCTACACGTCCCGAGATTACTCATGCAATGAGTGTACTATCACAATACAATAACTGCTTTCGAAAATCGCATTAAGAAGCAGCAAAAAGAGTTCTGCGATGTTTAGACGGAACTAAAGACATAGAAATTTCTTATAAAAATTACGGAGAATCTATTTTTGGTTACGTTGATCAGACTACGATGGATCAATCGATGACAAAATATCGTATACAGGACATGTACGAGTATTCTGTATGAATGGAATTCCCGAAAACAAACAAAAACGAAAAAAAAAAAAAAAAAAAAACAGTGACAGTTTCAATTACTGAAGCAGAATACACTATAGCACTAAGTGATGCTGCCAAGAAGTAGTACATTTGCAAACGTTTCTGAATGAGTTGGGTGCAAAGGATACAAAGATTATAACTGTACACAGCGACAATATTAGTGCACAAAAATTGACTGTGAATCCTGCTTCATGCACGAACTAAACATAGAGATATACGCCATAATTTTATCAGAGAAAAAATGAAATCCGGATCAATTAATTTGGTGCATCTTGCATCAACGGAAATGCCAGCTGACATTTTAACAAAAGAATTATCTCGAGAGGACGTGTTATATCCCAATCGGGATAGTAGTATGGCGATATAATCTCCGAGGACTCATGGTTGCTCAGCAATACCCGTTGCTTTGCGACCTCCCTGTTGTTTATATGCATTACTTGTTTTTCCAGTGCTTCTTGATATACGACTAATTAGATGACTATATTCAATAATTCATTGAAACCTTACCCCTTATTTTACTAGAACATTGCCAACAATAACGTTACTCTATTTGAGAAAAAAATTGAAATCGAGTCGTTTTGGAGAAAATCTTGTTTCCGTTTTTTTTTAATTGCCAAGATAGTACTAAAATTTATGCGAAAACTACTTATATTTTAAAATAATTGTACATGACATAATGTAAAAGTTTTGTTTTGAAGAACAGATTTCATTAATAAAAAATGTCCATCTTCAAATACGTGGAGGGGGTGAACAAATTTCAAACTCGTGCAATTTTCGAAAATTTCAGAGGTTTCAGTGAAAATGGGGCTTGTACTATTTTTATAAGGTTATTCAGCACTCTTTTAACAAAAAGAATTGAAGAAAAAATTGCTGCCAATGTTTGAAAACAAATGGAAATCTTCATATAAAGTATCCTCAAAAATTAAAATTTCCGTTTCAAATTCAATGGATCACAGCATGAAATAGGTTGATCACGGAATCCAAATTTGATGAACTTCCTCTGTACAATTTATACCAGCGGTTCCCAACGGGACCGATATCGACCCCTTGGAAGTCAATGAAATATTAAAAAGGGTCAATGATGATCAAGGGGTTGATTGGAGGTCTCCAACCGAATATGAACCGGCGATTATAAACTGGGATTAATGAAGATCCCATTGATTACAAAAAAATATTAAATGAACTTAAAAACCGTGGTGACAGTGATTTCGTTAATAGGCAATTTTAGTTTGCATTCCAAAAACTCTGGCGATGAAGATTTAAACGTAAGTGCCGAAAAACGATTCGACATTGAAGACCCAAATTTCTGTGGAATATGTACAGAATGTCATAGAAACAATCAGTCAGTACAAAAAGATATTGTTCGTGATTTAAAAATCATACAGAATTGTTGGCGTCTCTATTGAAGGGTTAGAACCTCCTTCAGAAAATAACTATAATTACTGTGTATTGTCGACGGAAACAAAATTTCGAATATGTGTTCTCAGAAGAAGACAATCTAATGTATTGAATTTATGTTGATGCATTTCTGAGTGCTTTGGGAGACCATCGTAATCCTAAGAAATGAAGGTTGTTTGTAGATTCCTGTAAGTTTAGTTTAGAAGCCCGGATTATTCATATCGGAAATAAAAAACAAGCTATTCTTCTTGCCTATGCAACCCATATGAAAGAGACGTATGATATCATGAAAATTTTGTTGTTGACGATACGAGCAGTAGTCATGGAATGTATACGGTGATTTGAAAGTTATCGCAAGTTATCGTTAAGTTGTTTGTTAGGCCTCCAACAAGGACATTTTAAATTTTGCTATTTTCGAGTGGGCGCTATATGCGAAGAATACAGATAGCGCTTTATAGATATAGCGCTGTATAGAAGACATCGCAAAAATCATTTTGTGAAGAACAGACCTCAAAAACATCTGATTCCTGAACAAAAATTCCTGGGCAGGCACGACTTCATATTAATTCAAGAAGACATGTTTTTGATAAACAGGCGAACAATAAATTGTGCCTAATTCCTTAAAATAAGTAATCAACAATAATAATATAAACAATGTATTTACTGTAAATTTGCAACCCCTTGTAATCAACAATAATAATATAAACAATGTATTTACTGTAAATTTGCAACCCCTTGTAATGCTGCACACGCATATCTTCCTCCCTTGTCCACCGAACTCGAATTGAAAAACCTGTGAAGGTGATGGATATAGTAAGTGGGCCAGGTTTCCCGTACTTGAGAAACAAATTCCCGAGGCTCTGTGAGGCGAAAATAAAGGATGGTAAGTTTGGAGGATCACAAATGGAGGAGGTTGTGTGGGATCATGACTTTGAGGCAAAAATGAATAGTGTTGAAAAGGCTACATGGATATTGCTTCAAAAAATGTAACGGAATTCCTTGGTAAAAGAAAACCTGAAACATATGAAGAAATAGAGTCGGAATTCTTCACAATTATAAAGCTTTGGGATGTGAACATGCTCCTTAATATACATTTTCTGTATCCACGCTTAAAGACTTCTTTCCTTAAAATCTCGTTCGTGTGAGCGACAAACACGGTGAGTGATTCCACCAAGACATTGCAATTATGAAAAAATGTTATAAGGGAAAATGGAATCAATATATGCTATATGCATACTATTGCTGAGCGCTAAAAACGACTCACTCAAACGAAATACAGTTAACAATCGTTCAAAATTACGTTTTGATTTATATTATTATGTTAGTAAAGAAAACCAATAACTTAACAACAGTGTGAACTTTTTAACTATTCCAAAAAAAATCTTGCACCTTACAAATAAATGCTCCGAAAATTTAAAAGCAGAGCACCATTTTCCATTACAAATAGCCATTATATTCCATTTAACAGACAAAATGTTAAATTTTTTCGACTAGTGTAATTAATTGTTTTCTGATATAGATTAAAACATAATATTAAATTACAAATTTTCCGTAGTTTATCCTTAGGATCAAAAGCGTTGCTAGGCTAATGCAACCGATGTACAGCATCGGTATCTCGAATAAGGGGCTCTTAATAAAGACTCCTGCGGGCGGATATCGACAAAGAAAAATACAAATTGCACCATTGCTTATTTTTACCGCTGCACCAGCCTTATTACTATATAAATTAGATTTAAAACTCCTTATTTCCTGTTTATTGCAGACAAGACTCATTCCGAGTTGCTGGAAGTGTCCGGGAACCTAGCTATGCAACTACTTAGAATGTTTAGAAACTCGTCAAATTATAACTATATATTCGCAACGACATTATATCGCGAAAGAAAATACTATCTGCAATGCGCATCGGAGAAATATTAAGGCCAGTTAATAAACGCTCAAAATTTTGTAACCATTGGATAATAATGAAGATTAGAAACTCAACGACACAAAAGAGGTAGCGTCGTCGATTATTGAAAATCTAGAAATTTATCATAATATTGGTGTTCGAAATTGTTAGCTTTCAGACGTTTATGTGCAATTATTTGCTATCATTATGCATGATGTGTTATAATAGAATAACGTCGCTCGGGGGATCGATGAAGCCAACAATAAAAGGGGCCGATGAACGAAAAAGGTTGTGAATCCCTGATTTAGACTCTTGCGTTGTTAGCACACAAACGGACAGACGTTTTGCGAGAAACCACTTTTTTAGGTATCTAGGACCTACAAAACGTGGATTCCAACAACACGTAGTTTTAGAAAAGCAATTTACCACATGCAGGCAAAGAAATGCTCACTTTTTCGATATACGAGACCCACAATATGAGTTTTTCTGTCGGAAAATAGGCATTTTCCCCTGCAACATTACAATGGTTTCTCTATACTACGTAAGTAAAAGCCGAGAAAGTAAAATCAGAAAATAATATTGAGAACGTTGAGAGAAGGAAAAGATTAAAGTGTTGTTGGATAGTGTAAGTAATCTATTTTTGATTCGCTTGATAAAAATTCTTACGATATAATCATTGATACTTACAAAATGTTTACGTATTAAATATATTAAATTTATGGCGTATATTTCGATGTATTTATCAGACATTAAATTTTAATGCATTTCATTGAAAATATTTAGGATCCAAATTTCTTGAAATTTTAGTTCAGAAAAATATGTCCCTACAATTTCTACGAGAAGAAAGACCGGTCTGGTTCTTGGCGATGACATGCATAACGAACATGCAACACGGCGAAATTACCAGGGGTGCAACCGGGAAATTCCCCGACTCGCGACTTGGGAGCTTTACTCAATATCACAATAAAATTTCAATTTTCAAAAATACTCAACATTTTGTTAGTTTCAAGCTATATATATTCAAGAAGTGAGGAAGTAAAAAACAATTGAGAAATACAATTTGTTTCTACTTTTACTTTTTTCCGCGATTATTTTCTTTGTTTTATTTATGCGGGACTTTAGAAAAGAGAATTTCTTGAGTCTCCTTACATAGTGAAGTCAACGGATTTCTGGGTCTTTTTCTAGTATCCAAAAATTAAATTTTATTAACAAATTTACAAATAGTAATTTATTATACAGTCATGAAGTCATTTCCATGACAATAGTTTAGGCTCTTAAAGCTCTATTCTAATAGTTTTTGAACACACACATGTGCACACAACATATTTTTGATTGCAGTTTTTCTCCAAAAAGAAAAAAAATATGTGATAAACTGTCCTGTTTGATGCCAGGTTTCAAATCAAAGACTTCATAATTCTAATGACATTATTAAATTTTCTGATCTGGTTAAAAAAATGTTGAGTAAACTATTTGATATTAAATATGGGGGTCATTAAATAATTTCAAAAAACATTTTATATACCCAAATGTGTGTGGGGGGGACTAGCCGATATAATAATGACTTGCTTCTTGGTACTGCTGCCACTCGAAATGGTAGCTATGTATCATTAATTGAAGAATGCTAGAAAAAAATGGCAATAAAATTTGCATTTAGAATTGCAAAAAATTGACCATCACCTTAGTCTTGTGACAAATTACTTTCAGCCAAAAAATAATTTATAACATATAAATATTAATAACTAAAATATTTAGTTAAATATTTGAAACCGCTAGCAATTTTTAATTGCAAATAGTTTTTGAATTTGCAGAATTCAAAATCTCATGAACATTTAAACTGTAGTGGTGCAGAAGAAAATCATTCAACAATGGTTGACTTCCTAATATATGGGCACATCGCCTGGAGTTACCTGTAGGGGTCACCTGAAATATGAATGAAAAATCTCTTTCAACAGAACATAAATATTAACCAATTGAATATATGGTTATATTTTCATACATTGAGGTAAAAAACTTATGATAATACAATTTCTTTAGTTTCACATTTTTATTAGTTTTCAAATTTGGCCAAGAACATGCAGAAACATACAAACCATTTTGAGTATGCTACACATCACTTTTCAGAAACCTATTCCAGCACTTCAAGAAAGATCAACTCTTGGCATTTATTATTGAGACTTCCAGTACTATCTCGAGTAGGTTACCCCAGGAAAAGTGTTACTTCTTAACTTTGCAGTTTTCAGTGACTTCTGTCTCACATATGTCTCTCTACTTGTTGCACTTACTGGAACATCGAGTGTCCATACTCTGGCTTAAGATTTTTAATTATTTATTTTTTGTTTAATATGATAAAATTGGTTGATTAAGTTTTAATTTTTTACTTTTATTCAGATCACTCAATTTTTGATGATATTACATGAATTCCTTATAAATTCACATATCATTGCAAAATAAAATACAATGTAATCTAGCCAAATGGTAAAAATTTTCCACATAATTTTCCACTAAATATATTTCCAAACAGACAACAAAGTTTTGAAGTGATGCAAAAATATAATGTGATTACAATCTGTTTGTCTTATTCCATTACACATTTCAGAATTTTCAGCTGAACTAGATAATCAGTTTGCAACAACAATTTTGAATAGTTTACTAAATACTGAAAAAGTGAATTAAATCTTGAAAAAAAAGTTTAACATGGAAGCTTTATAACAGAAGTTGAGTAAAAATGAATATCGAATTTACTTTAGAAAAATTACAGTTTCAGGGATATTTAATGAAAATCAGTTTCAAACAAAATCCTACCTTCTCTGTAGACTATAAGAATTTCAGTGAGAATGTTCTGCCAACACAATTTCAATATTTTCAAGTATCACAGATTATGGTAGTGTCTTTTCAAATTAGAGATGAGACATTACCTCAAGAACTTTTAATTATTCTTGTACATTATTTTACATATGGATGTTTTCTAAAGAGCATATTGTGAAATGTAGAAAATTTCTAAATACCAAGATTTGGACTTACATGTCTACTACTATTTTATGATCTCATTTTATAGTAACAAATATACAGTAGTTATACGGAAGATATAAATACATGGAAACAATAAATACAAAACATAAAAAAAAATTAAAATTAAATATTGCTAAATTCTTCAGTAAGAATAAAACTTCAATTAAAAAACTACAATACTGTATGCACATTTTTCCCCAAATACAATAATAATAAATAGAGAACTTAGATAATATTATGTAATATATCATTAACAAATAAAACCTATGGTTTCAGAACAGAGAAAACTCTGTTATAAATACATTAGTTTCCTCTTTGTCAAATGAATTATAGGAAAACAATTTTGGAATTTGTCTATGTATTTATAATAAATAATAATATAATGAAAATATGTTTGTTTTTTAACAGATTATTGCTCTGGAAAACAACATGAAACGTCCTTTTGATTTTCGAGGATATACTGGAGTATTGAATAGAGGAATGTCAGTCATTGTGTTTTTGTATGTCTTTATTGGATTTGTTGGCTATGTGAAATATGGAGAAGGGGTAAAAGGAAGCATAACATTAAATCTTGATGAAAACGAAAAGTAAGTACAGTATTTTGTTTAAACATTACAGTTATTGCAATTCAATTGTTATTAATAAGTTATATTTCACTTATGGTTGCTCAGTATTTAAGTACTTGTATTTGAAAAACTGTGTTTTGGATTCTTTTGGACATGTATTTTAGAGATGTATTTAAATACATAAAATATGTGTATTTAAAAACATTAATACTTTAAATACAGATGAAGAAGATTACGAGGATAGTTTCTTTTTGTGTGATTCCGCTAGTGAATGGATCTTTTTAAAACAAAAATAGAATCTCATTCAGGCTGTTGAATTTGCATTCTCGTCATTTTTAAATGACAAATCTAAATCATTAAAAATGGTGAACAATTATACGATAATAAAAAAGCGTTTATTCCTAATAACACTAGTTTATGTTCATTGGTGCCAGTTCACTGTTTTCCTTTTGCGGGTTTTATACATTCACCAACTACGGATTTATCGACTGATGATTTGTTTGAAAACTAGTCATTTTAAAGAAAAATTCTATTTATATGAGTTAGACAATTCTTGATATTGTTTTATACTTGAAAATGTTTACACACATGCACACGCAAATAACAATTGTAATTTAGATTACTATTAATATAATACCTTGTCTTACAAATCTTGCTTGGTCATAAAAGGCTAAGGATTAGAGGATTAGATAAGAATGAGGAATATCTCCTAAGAGTTATAATGAAGACTGCAAGAATTCTGACTACTCTACCAAAGACGGTAAAGAAGATGAAAAAGAAAAGTATGCCGTTTCTACTAGTGTTATCACATAAGGCAGGAAGAAAGTTCATGAACATTTACTGAAGAAAAGCAAAAATTTAAACATATCTCTGAGCTCACTTATCCTTCATCTGAAGCAAATGACATTGTCATTATTTAAATGCAGTATGTGACCAGGGCATGTACTACATACATTTTCTATGGCATGGTATGAACATTTCTAGTTTTCGAACGTTGTCCCCACTTTTATTTATAAATCATGTAGGTGTAGTAGAAGACTAGGATCAGGATTCTAGGCCTCAAGATAGCATCCACAGATTATACTTATTCCACATACATAACATACAGATTTTACTGGCTTTTTAGATAATTTTTTTTTCAATAAAGGAACTTGGTAACACAGAGCTGCCATCTATTGTGCCAGATGCATATAATGTAGCAACTTGCTTGATTTTGAAAATCTGCTTCGTGTAGAAGAGTGCTGTCAATGATTCTTGTTAAAACATCTGTTTTGACTAAAATGGAGATAAAAATTAAATTGATTGTTCTAAAGTTAATACATGAGCCAGGAAGAAAGCTCATTGGAACTTGCGCTCCAAAATCAAAGAACTGAAATTTACCTTCAGTACCATGTAATCTTTAGTTGAAAAATAAGGCAATACAGTATCTTTAAAAAAAGTCATTTAAATGTAGACAGAGCAAAGGCAAATTTTCAAATTGTTTTATTTATTTATTTATTGTTTATTTAATTAATGTAAAAAAAGCAATTAAAACATTGTATATAGTGTATGTGGGAGAAGTACGTTATTGGAATTGTGCTAAAAAACTTAAGACTTTCACAAGATTTGAACCAAGGATAGGAAAGTAGAAAAATTGTAATGCATTTAATCATACCTCCTGAGCTGTTTCAGCACAGTCATAATTTAAATACCAAAAAATGTAGCATATGAAATTTGACATTTGAATAGAAAAGTTTGATAGAATATGCATCTGATAATAATATTGCTAACTCCTTACTAATTCTTTGTAAGTCTTCCTCATCTGTAGGGAGACCAATTTCTATTAGAACAGATGCTCCAAAAGCTGATTTCACTATTTGCTAACAAAATAATGAGTTGAATGTAATTTCTCTCGCACATTCAAATTAAGATTCTAATTCTGACTAGTAAATATTAGTTTTCAGAAAAACATTGTATGTAATTATATTTTTTTAAATTTTATTGAAATATAACTATTGTTTGAATGACAAGAAGTCAATAAAAGTGTAGTTTAAAAGTTATTTTCTCAAATTTATTCTAAATGTGAGTATTACTTGAAAAGGTCAATTTTCCACGTCTGGTTTAAAATAACCATGTATCTTCCAATAAATACATTTCCCAAAATATATCATAGAAGTAAAAATTGAAAGCAGGAATATTCACTACAAAAATAAACAAGGTTTATCCAGATTTTTGTTTCTGAAGGCTGGCAATAAGAGGTTTTTTGCAAATTTGCCATTTTTCTCCTGTAGCATTATATTACTTTCCATATACTGCATAAGCAGTAGACGAGAATTTAAAAAACATACACCTATATTAAACTTTTTTAAGTTTATTGTGTAAAACCCCTTATTTCTAATAAAAAGAGTTAATAGTCAAGGACTTACGAGGCTGGAATAACATGATCCAATTGAGCTGAAACTTCAAAAATCTTTCTTTTACACCAAATAGCAACTATTTAGGAGTTCCTATCAAAGATTTTTCTGGCATTGATTTCTTGTGACCACCCTACTGAGCATTCTGCCAGAATACAAGCTATCATTAAAATTAAGAAGTTAATTTTCTTAATACATCACATCAAGTATCATCTTCAAAAATAACCATGAACATAGTGAAAAATATTCATTAGCATTCGATGAACTGTACCAAAAATTCAGTGAATAACCAAAACCACTCATAAAATATCAGGTAAACATCCCTACAAGAAATCATGAATGTCATTGCTCTCTTGTAATAAGACACTAATTTGAGTGTTTGGATGATTTATAAAAGGGTTCTGAGGTGCCCAAATAATTCAGGTATTGTGTTAGGAATAGTCACAAGCCACAAAATGGTAATTTTACAGGAGAGTTGTTTCTAACCTTGGATAATTTCTAAAAATCAGAGATTTCAATTGAATGGCGCAAATTTTCTCTCAAATTTTCTGGGACATTTTTTTCATAATTTGAGAGAGTCAACATTAAATATATGAAATTAATTCCTAAGTTATACCAAAGATAATGTTAATATGAGTAGATGGTTTGAGATTTTGTTAACACCAGTCTGTAAGCATTGAACATCTTTAAAATCATTTCTTTCCATCTTAGTAACCAACAGGAATGTGTGTGTGTGTGTGTGTGTGTGAGAGACCATATTAGTAACCAGCCATATGTCCATGATACACTACATATGACAGTCATCCAGCCATTCAAAACAAATGTTCCTACATTGGTGATCTTGCTTCTCTATCTTTTTAAAGTCCTGATCACAGGATAGTCTAGTATGGTCTATACAGGGGAACCAATGAGTAACAGACTTGACTCTTCCACATTTTCTCAATGCTCGTTCCAGGGTATTGATTGACCAATTTTTATTTTGTCCTTTGAATTTATCAATCATAATGTGAAGATTTCTGCATTTGAATTTGAGATCTGTAATTATTTTACTAAGCAACTTTGTACATCATCTGCTCGTCTTCTCTTTTGGTTCTCACCATATTTTCCAAGGCCCGCTTCTATCATTTGACAGAAATTCATCACCTTCCTCACTTTTGTCAGTTTCTTCTTCCAATTCACTTTTGCTTGCAACATTAAAATAAACCTTCTTGCTGTTGTCATATTAATTGCTTGTGACTTATTTCTTGTGAAATGAACACAACCAACAAAAGAAATGGAAAACAACTGTCTTATAATTCCATATTCAATCACCAAATTGTAGCAAACTGTGTCTTATTAGAGGCTTCTAGTGATCAACTCATAATCTTCGGCAATATTTCAAAGTTCATGGAAGTGTGGCTTGTGACTGTCATTGTAGCAACCTCTCAATTGAAAAACATAGACATATTTGCTCAGATTCCGTAAACTGGTGCGAGTTGGAGATTAACTACTCTATTTATTTTTATTTTAGATGACACAGTAAGAATTGAAAAATGAACTAGAGGAGTCATTCCAAATAAAGTCACCAGAATAAGCCTCAATATATTCATTATACTCTGGTGAAACCTACCTTTTTATCCCTGGCACAGTCTCATCTGATCTGTGTTTTAAGGTTTCATGTAAACATTGCAAAACTTTGTGTATGATGCTTGGTGGTTACATTTGATAGTTTCAAAAGAAGTTTGTTTTGGTAACTTATTGTTGCAACCATAGATGATAATTTTTTGAGTAATGAAATAGTTTGTAAATGCTGATGGTTTTATTATTTGAATTATTAGTTAAATATTTCTGGGGTTACTTGAGAATGGTACTTGAGTATTTTAGATTTGTTAGAAGCACAAAAGGCAAACAGATCAAAGGAACAAATGAAGGGGAAAAAAGAAGACACTTAAAGAGACAGATCAGAAAAAAAACAACAGTGATAGTGAGAAAGAATTTCATGGCAGTGTGCCATAGAAAGTGCAAACAGCATTTTCATATTATAGGATTCTGTAATCAATGATTCTGCAGTGCGTGAAGTAAAAGAGTTCTTATTACTACAGAGCAGTTTGACAAAATAGACCTGACTTCAGAGTTCAGGAGTTTGTTTTTATCAAATAAGAGGGAAGAAAACATTCAGTTCAGATGAGTGAACTTTCTGGAGAATATCAAGTTCATTGATGGAAAAATAGTAAATATTTGAAAAGGCCTGAGATGAAAGATACAATCTGCTATTCATCTGACTTGTCACTGAGAAAGAACTCACAAAAACTGGCAACTTTAGCTTGGCAGATTTATATTGTAGATGTAAAAGAATTATTCCCTGAATTTATAGGCCTACTTGTACATAATGAAAGCATACTATTTATAATTTTATTTTTTGTTTATGAAATGAGTTTGAAACATTTGCTATGTAAGGGGATCATCAAGATAAAAGAGTAGTATGCCCAAGTCACAGCAACTAAAGGAGGAACTTTCGTATGACTTAGTTTTCATTTTTCTCCGCTCAATAATCAACAAAACCATTATCCTTGCAAAAAATAAATAAATTAAATCACATTAAAAAATGTATCCAAGTTACCCCAGTTTGTGGTATAAGAGTTTCAAGAA